TACAAGCCTTAACAGCGTCAGCACACGTAATGGTCAGCACAACATGCCGCGATTCACACTCCCCCTTTGACTTGCAGTCAAGCTGTACTGGAGCAATCGGGCACACCAGAAAAGACACGAGCAGCTCCACTGCTCAATGAAGCCGCATGGGCTTCATGTAGACTCAAGGCTTCTTTCAGCAACAAAAGATGTTCATCACGTCTTCTTGAGACGCAACTCAGTGCGTCCTCTCCACTCTTTGTTGGCCAACAATTGTGCTGGCTTGCTAAGTCGCGTGAAATCATCAACATGGACCAATACTTGGCCCGAACTCAAGCGTCCAAGGGTTCGCCGTTCACCGGTAAACCTGTTCAGCGGCGGACCTCCGGCCGCTTGTCCTGGAACGAACAGATTTAGCCTTGCCGTGGGATGGTAGCGGATTGCTACACCACGGCGTTCATCGATCTCCCAGTAGTCGCGCTTTCCACTGGGCATCACGAAGTCGTTCGTTGTGGTGGGGAACCAGTCATCATGTAGAGGTTCCGGAATCGGAGGTGTTGGAGGCCTCCTCTCCCCGGTGAGTCGACTCGTCCTCACGCGCAGCCCCGCAGTTTCCAAAGAGGAGTCGCGAAGTGAGTCTGAGCTGACGGGATCCACCGCCCCAGGGCGGATCGACCTATCATGCTCCTCTACCCCCCGACTCACTCCCGTACTTCTGCAGCACTGCTTGATGTAGCCGAGAACCGCTTTGAAGGACTCCCAAATTGCAATGACCGCAACCATGCACACACCGAGGAACATGTAATCGAAGGGCTCCTGCGTCTCGATCTCGGCTGCCTCCCCTCGCTCCACCACAGAAGCCAAGCACAACAAAACGATCAACTTCTTGGCCTGTGTCGCATTGACGGTGTTGGCACCTGGGCTGTAGCGCTTCCTTGTGACCCTCATTCTGTCAACAAGGAAACCAAAACGATCTGCGGGCAGGGATTTGGTTCCCAGGTCGGCGAGCATGATGCGACCATCAACATGAAACGCCATCCAATCTGGTAGCTCGAGGAGTTCTCGGATCATGTTTCCCCTGATCCTCAAGTGCCTTGTGCGCCAGCTGCCTGCAGCACACAGATAGCCTTGATCACTTCAGAGGCACGGTCCTTCGAAGAAAGCATGATCTCGGCCACCAGCTGCTCCACGGATTTCACACAGGTAGTAAGCTCACAAATCGCCACCAGTTCACTTTCTGCTGTAGACATGGTGACGAAGGCCTGCCGGCTGCTTGTCCAAGCCACCAAGCCACCCAGGACGAACACCATGATTGCCTGTTGGCTTCGACCTGAGTTTGAGCAAAACTGGCATCGCAAAAGCCTTCAATCAACCGGAGAGGACACCTGAGCATCGGGAGTGAGGTAGGGCTTGGAGGCATAGAAGATTCCTCCTTCAGGATATCGCTTGAGGTACTTGATCAAGTGCCCCCCTCGGTAGACCGCCTCCTTCGGTCGTTTGCTGATGGCCTGCGACAACAGATTCACCGCGTACAGGATCTCCGGCCTGCAGCGCCCAGCCAACCACTGTAGCTCACCCGCCATTGTCTGAGCGGTCCTGACAAAGTCCGCGGCACTTTCCTCTTCAATTAGGTCAAAGTCCTCCGAGGTCAACACCGTCGGCGCCGGGACCTCCTCGTAGCCTTCCAGGTCCTTGTGTACCTGGCCAGGAGGTCCTTGGTGTAGCTGTCCTGGCGAAGCGTGAGCCCTTGCTTGGAGCAGGAAATCTCAAACCCATTGAAAGCCACATTGTCCCACTGCGGCTCGGTGCACTTCCAGGTGCTCGCGATGACACGAGCTGCTTCCTTGGCCACCTCCGGCTCGCCGGCAATCAAGAGGTCGTCGACATAGCACAAAATAGCTCCCGCTCGACGGCCGCCGACTTGAATGTACCACAAACTCCCATCGATCTCCGAGGGCACAAACCGAACCTCTCCTTCCGAAGTGGCTCCTTTCATCTGGGCCATGGTCTTGTTGCGGTACACCTCCCAGGAGCGAGGCGAGGTAACCATTCCATAAAGCGCGCGCTTCACGCGCCAAATGGTTTCCTGACACACACCACCCATCAGGGCGATCCTCTTGAAACAGAAGTGGAGCCAGTAGGAAGGCTGTGCGCACGTCCATTACGCACACACTCCATGCCATCAGCGCCACCATACGCAAAAGGATCCTGGTAAGAACCCCATCCGCCCCGGCCGCGTACTTCTGATCCTTCGAGAAACTCTGACCCAGGAAGTTCCCGCAGATGACGGCCCGAGTCTTGAGCCGGCCCATGAACGCCTTGACAGTGTGCACTGTCTTCCCGGGCACTAGGTCAAAGTCCTTGCCTTCCTGCTTCCACTGCTCCAGCTTCTCCTCCGGGAAGGGCTCCACTGCTTCATTCTCCCGGATCAAGCTCTCGTACTCGGACAGCATGCTGGGCACCCATCGATCCAACTCTTTCCTCACCACCTCGTTGGGAATGGTCTTCGTATGCAGCGGTGCCTCGTCGCCGCCCTCAACAAGCTCAGCCACACACACTTTGTCCTCCTCCGAGCCTTCATACTTTTGCCAGAGCTCCATCTCGGACTCCAAATCCTCCCTGCTGGCATTCCAGCGCTTCACTTGACAAGCCGCGAGGCTGCCATGATCCTGATCCTCCGCAAGGGCTCGCTCCCAGTTCTCTTCCTCCACCAGAAGACATCGAACCTCATCCAAGTAGCCCTCGAAGAGATCCCAACCTACCTCCAAAGGGGCCTCCGAAGCCACAATCTCATAAGACACCTCAGCCTCGGACGACGCCGGCTTCAACGTAGCAACCATTGGAGGACCAAACGCACCCCACGACTCCTGAAACCATGGGTCTTCTGAACACTCCTCGTTCTCGTCATCCCCAATGTAGAACTGAGCAGCACCACCACCAGTCTCTTCACCAGGTAGACGACAAAGACATAGCGAGGGATCTACCTCCCATCCTTTGCATTTGCAGTGACCCCCACCAGCAACACCATCACGAGATTCCGACTTCAGGTTCTCCCCCGGTCCCTGACATCCATTTGAAAAAGGACCCCCTCCAGCAACACCATCACGAGATTCCGAGTTCAGGTTCTCCCCCGGTCCCTGACATCCAGACATACAACACACCGCGTCATGATCTCCTTCTCCTTTTCCACATTCGCCACCGATCCCTCCTCCTTCTGACGAAAAAGCCGGAACTCCGGGGGGTGGCAGTGGAAAACCAAGCTCTTGCAGTAAGTCCCGATGCGGTTGGTTGCAATTGTCTGGGCAGCCGACCGTGTAAGCTGTCATGGTAATGCGGTTGCCTTGCCATGGTAGTGGTTGGTGAAGCTGGCATGGATCGAAAACTACCGCCTTGTGGTAGGTCGCGTAGCGATGGCCTGGCAGCCATTTGCCATTGACCTTGTGCCAGCTCATGCTTTCCCTCACATCACTCACTGGAGTGTGGCACCAAAGTGCCCCACCCACGTAGTTCCCGAAGCCAATCAACGTAGCCGTCTCGCCGGCCTTGTTGTTCCCATCCTTGTGGCACTGCATGGGCGTGTTGAAGTTGAGGGGTCGGGTAGTGAAGGTAGTATCAGGGCCACTGTGCTCCTTTACTGCCGCCACCAAAAACCTGGTCAGGAAGGGGCGAGTCCGCGCCAACGTAGTTGCTCCAACCACGCCACCATGACGAAACATTCCCAACACATGAACAGAGACTTGAGGAGCCCCATCAAAGACCTCCGGGCGACGACCGGGAACCAAGTGCTCCTTAAGCCACAAACTCTCAAGGAGCTCCTCCACTGCTGACATAGAGTAGTCCCCGGCCTCTAGGAAGAGCGCCGCCAGCTCCTCATCCTGAATGAGATGCTCGTCCTCCAACTGCTCGCACCTCAAGGCCTGCTCATCCACAGCAAGCTCTGCCTTGGCAATGGCCACTTTCCCCCGCAGCCTCCTCCGGACCCCAGATTCGTCCGCACGCACAGGAGGAGCATCCACCACAAACTCCCCAGAAGTTTCCTTGACGTTCTCAACCGCCGCCATGGTGGTCAGATAGCTGCCTTCTTCCGTGCGAACTAGGAAGCCTCTAGCAACATCCATAGAAGGACACAATATCTTTGCAGCCACCACCTTCTCGACGAACTCCTCCTTCTTGAGCTTCCAGGATCGCTGCTTCACAAACACCTTGGTTCCAAAAGGAGGTAATCGAGGAAGACGTCCTCCTAGCTGAGTCGCCACCTGATACTGAATCCGTGACACATAGTGACGCATCGCAAAACCCCACATGTCCGCTCCCAGCCCCGACGCCGACAAATAGGTCCGAACCGCATTCTTTGCCCGTCCCACCAGTGCTTCCACTCGGCCGTTAGCTCGGTAGTCATCAGTCATCGCCCGGAGTGGTAGTCCGCATAATACCACGATCCCGACATAGAGCTCGAAAACCCTTGTTGATGAACTCACGGCCTCGGTCAGAGTGTATACGCTGCGCCACCAGTCCGAGCTTCTTCACTTGGACCAGAATGTCCTTCGTAGCGGCCAGCACCTCGGCTGAGGTCTTAGAACCCATGATCACCACAAAGGGAACCTCCACACAGGACACGCCGTCGAGCTTGTCTTTCTCCACCCGAGCCTTCCACCGCTCCAGTTCGCGACGACTTCGCTCCTCTTCCACCGCAGGGGCCTCATCGTCTCCATCCTCAGCTGGTCCTTCCTCACAGATGGGATCATCATCATCTAGAGGCCCAACGCCACCTCCCTCGTCTGCTCCATCGTCGGGAGGCTGAAGAAGCTTTCCCAACATGTCAGGAACCACCAAGGTGCCAATCAAAGCATAGCGGATCTTCTTCAAATACTCATCCACTCCTTGCCGAGTAGGTCCAATCACATCCAAACTCAGGCACCAAGCTTCGGGGGCCACAATCCGCCGATGAGCATGGCCACGAAAAGAGCCGGCCAAGCAAGCTTTGCAGTCACGCCGAAAAGGAGTGTGGTCTCGGCGAAGATGATCCAGGAAGGCCTGATCAAGCTTCATTACTTTCTCCAACGTGGAGCCCGCCAAACTCTCTTCCACCACACGCTTGACTGCTTGCTTCAGGCCCGGAGCCCATGCCGCCCAGGTAGCCGAACGAAAACCATCGCCATCATGATCTCGCTCGTCCTCGGTCACCGACGATGGCCCTCGAACCTTCCACAGCTCCCGCGGGCAAGTCATGGACGCGAGGATCCGCGTAGGCTTCCGACGAGGATGCCCCAATGGCCCTTGATCAAACCCCCACCAAAACCACTTCATCTCATCCTTCAGGAACTGAATCTCCGGGAAGGCCCATAGCGACGCCATGTTTTCCCCCTTAAGGAACTCACGAGGATCTTCAGGATGCTCCAGGATGAAGTCCGGGTCCCGATCTCCATTGGCTCTAGCTACCGCGGCAGCCGCCATCCAAAGAAACAGCATCCGAAAGATCATGATCGTGTCCTGGCGCACCCTCCAGGTCTCCCAGTCACAAAGTCCTTCGCGGCCCCATCTTCCGCTGCCCTCACGATCACGAAGAGGACGAGGTCCTTCCCCAGTACTCACTGGAACATTACGAAGCGCCGAAAACGTCCTACAGGGAGGGCCTCCAAACACTGTCTTGATCTTGCCTGTGAGCGCGAGGTCCAACAAAGCCGCATAGGTCGCATCCGCCATCACATCCTCGGCCTGGTCCACCGTCACCACATGGGCCACCTCCGCGCTAGACTTCCACGTAGCTCGATCTCGCCCACAGAACAAGTGAACTGCCACCGCCGATGCCTTCCTCCACTTCTTTCTCTCATGGCGGTTCCCATCTGTTCCGGCGACTACCGGGACAGCCGACACCAACCACGACGGAGCCTCCGGGAAAGTCCGATGAAGCCAGGCCCAAGACAACCCCACACCATTGTAGAGCTCCTTTGCAGCCTTGACACCCAGCTCCCGGTCCAGCTTTCGAGCATCCAGTCTGGTACGCTCGCAGCCTTCAACAAGACGATTGACAGCCAACTCGGCCTCTCGTCTCCGCAACTTGATCGCTTCCGCCTCGGCAATCAAGTCCAGACCCGTTGCCTCGTCCACTTCAGGACATCCATGAACAATACGCACGCCAAGGTCGCCCTTGACGGGATGCACCACAGAACAGCCTTCGCTGCTGCGCCACGTCACACGACAGCCCACTTCCATGAGGTCGTTCATCGCGATGATCGGGGCGGTCTCCTTGGTGGTGAGCAGTGTTCCTCCCTACAACTGGTAGAACGTGGTCTCGCCCTCGGCCAACAGCACCGTCCGCAAAGGAAGCCCTTGCGCCTCATTTCCACGAGCCGTTCTCATAGACGTGGTGGCCCCAGAGTCCACTAGAGCTCTCCCGCCGCCGCCCGAAGAGCTCTGAAGCGACTTCATCGTCATCTTGGCCAGCCTCAACGACTTCAAAGCTTTGGTCGCCTCCTCGAAGAACTCCGTCCTGGCCGAGGTGTCCTCAGGGCCCACTGTAGGAGCCGTAGCGCGGACCGGGTCCTCAACAGGAGGTTCCTCCTCCGTCTTTCTCACCGCCTCTTTCTGACGGTCCTTTCCTCCTCCCTTTCGACGATTCTTCTTTGGTGGCTTGTCCTCGCCCCCTCCAGCCGTTCCAGCCGTAGCCGCCGAAGTCGAAGAAGACTTTTGGGCACCACCACTTTGCCCTCCACTACCATTGCTTGCGGCTCCTCCAGAACTGGGCTGCGTTCACCCGCTTTTCCTCCACCGCCAGAAGCCTTCCCCCCTTGCCCGAGCAACGGGCACTGTGGCTTCAAGTGGGACTCAGAGCCACATTCCCAACAGCGTCCGGGACCCAAGGGCGAATGCAAGAACATACAGTTCGCCCCATAACGGCAGTCCGTGCCGTCCTGCCAGCCCCAGCATTGGCTTCTTGCCCTTTGCCTTGCCCTTGCCTTTGTCGCCGCCGTCCGCGCCAGCATTGGCTTGATCATCCATCCGAGCTACTTTGGGCTGCGCCGGAAGCGGCTGTGCCAACTGAGCTGCTTCCAGCTCGCCGAGGATCAAGTAGGCGTAGTCCTCAATGTCCACGGCCGTGGCACGGTACTCTAACTGACGATCCAACTTGAAGGAGGCGATCCTGAACGAGGCAGATGGATGCTTGTTGCCCGCCCCGGAAAACGTAGCACTCACCAACTTGTCCAGGCCACGGCACAACAAGCTTGGATCTGGCAGCACCACCTGTAACTCGCGGCCTCTCCGAAAAAGCCTGATCCATTTCCGCGCCAAGTTCAAGGTGTTCTCCAAGCCATTGCCCGTTTCCGGCACCGTGAGAAACTGTAGCCCGCTCCTCCAGGTTGGTAAGCGCAGTGCACCATGAACACCATAGACTCCGCCGTCACAGCACGAGCACTGATGGCCGCGTGACGAAGCTTCTCGGGTAGCGCGTCCAGTAACAACATCGCCGCTCGCTGCTCCACTCTGTGGTGACGATCCGGAGGGGGTCTTCTTGAGAGAACTTGCTGACGTATCGTCAAACGTGCCACCGGAGCGCTCTCAAGCCAAAGACTGTACAGGTCCTTGACTCTCTCCATCAAAGCAGACCATGCACCACCTCGTCGCCGTCGGGGACAAAGAGCTCATACTTGGTTCCAGCTGGGCCAACCAGTCCCCCGCCACCACTGCTGCGTCACCACCCTTCGCTGACTGGAGTGCGGGGAGCTTAGTCACCAACTTTGATGGCTCCTCGACCTCCTCACTGAAGCTTGCACTTGTGGTAGTTGATGTAGTCAGAGGCGTCGTAGGAGGAGGTGGAGGGACAGGAGTCCCCCCTGGCGTGACATTCAGATTCCAGCTTGATCCCGAAGCCTTAGGCGTAGTCGGCGGATTTGGAGGGGGAGGTGGTACTCCTCCAGTAGGAGCTGCACTCCCATTGTCACCACGATTCAAGGTTGAGAAACCAGCTCCACCGCTGCCACTGAACAGAGGCTGCGCCACCATCTGCCCTTGAACCATCTGATACTCCCTCCAGACACCATCCACCATAACCAAACCATTGGGTGGCGCATTCATCACCAACCCACCACTGCTCACACCCCCTTCCACTGGAGGACAAAGCTCTGCCACTGAAACGGGCGATCCCTGCAAAGGCTCATGATGCCTTTCTGCGGCCATTGAAGTCGTAACCGCATACGAAGAGCTCGGCCAACCATGTCTCGCCTCAGAAACTGCAGGCACATCGTTAGGCCTCAGGACCTTAGAAGGGGACACCGTACTCGCCGGCATAGTCACAGATCGCTCCTCTAAGCCAACATCCCCGACACCCTTTCCCCTGCTAAGACCAGGTGGGTCCTCTCGCTCTGAGTTCAGCTCCGGGATCCTGGAGGCTGGCTTGAACTGACCTAAGGTAGCATCCTCCAAGGCGCTCGGCTGTCGACTTGTTGTAGACCCACCCACTGGCTGAAGCATCGGCATTCTCTGGGACTCCATAGCCTGTTGAAGCGAGGACATTCTCTGAAGCTCCATAGCCTGTTGAAACGAAGGCATTCTTTGAGACTCCATAGCCTGCTGAAGCGTGGACATTCTTTGAGACTCCATAGCCTGTTGAAGCGAAGGCATACGCTGGGACTCCATAGCCTGTTGAAGCGAAGACATTCTTTGAGACTCCATAGCCTGTTGAAGCGACGGCATTCTTTGAGACTCCATAGCCTGCTGAAGCGGTGGCATACTTTGAGACTCCGGCATCGAAGAAGAAGCCATTGGATCTCCATACAGAAGCGCGGGCCAATTCGTCTCCGCCAGCGGTCCCAAGAGGCGTCCTGGGATCCCGCGCTCCACCTCAGCCGCCCTACGACGAGCCGTCTCGCTGTCATCACTGCTGAAGGTCCCAGCCATGACCTTTTCCAGTGACGCCAAGGGTCGCTCAAACTCTGGCTCGATTCCACTTTGCCCCAAAGACATCTGATTCAACTGCCGCTGCAGCCGACCCATGTCTTCAGTTCCCAACGCACCAGTCGGCCTTGAAGTTGCAGTCGCCGGAGTCATAGCCGATGGAGTGGGCTGTTGCGATCCTTCCTCGGTACTCATCGGAACCTGGCCACCCACCGAACCACTGGCAGACTGCCATTGCTCCATTCTGTCCACTCTTCCCACAAGGGTGCTCAGCAAACCAGTCATAAAGTTCAGAGACCGCGAGATCTGGCCAACATCTTCTTCACGACGCTCCATGGATCTCGTCCGGGCCGTAGCTGCGCCATTATCGCACGCCCCCAAACTTTGCTGCTCTGTCGGAGGAACCAGTGCTGGCTGCCCATCAGAGGTGGAATCTCGCTGGAACACAGGAGACTCCACATGATTTCCCTGGCTTCCGTGCTCAGCAACTGGTCTCTCGACCAAAACAGTCTCTGACCGGCTCGCTTCATACAGAGGGTCCTGCACCTGCTCGTCGACTCGGACTTCTTGAAGATGACGTCTGGACTCCTCTCCAGAACCTTCCTGCAGGGCCTCATCCAAAGTCCTTGGCCCCTCTCCCTCCGCACTGTCCGCCGAGGTCGCCATGAACACAGAAGGAATTACGTGAGCGTTGGGCTCATAACCCTCGTAAAATTACAGGGCACTCACTTTTGCTTTACAAGCCTTAACAGCGTCAGCACACATAATGGTCAGCACAACATGCCGCGATTCACAGTAGTAATAGTGGGCCCCGAAACCCTATTCTGATCATTAAGGCCCCTACATTGGGGTTTCAGGTTCACGGTTTTGGGACGTTTTTGAACTTCGGAGGCGATAATCTGCGGTTTAAGGGCTTTCGGGTTTCGGGGGCCTTTGGGACCAACTGCAACCAATCCCCAAGCCACGTGCAATTTTTGGGGTTTCAGGGCTTAGGGCTTAGGGTTTAGGGTTTAGGGCGTCTTGCCGAATCCGACAGCCCCTGAACCCCACGGCCTCTCGGATGCCCAGAGCGCAAAGTAGAGGCCTTAATAAGTAGAATAGGATTTTGGGCGCTCCTTGTTAAAATTACCGTTTCATATACCCCAAACCCTATTCTAGTTATCAAGGCCCCTATATTGTCCCCCAACCCCCGGCCTGAGCATCTGCAAATCCTGCACCCCTTGTAAATGCAGGCTCCGAGGAGGCGGACGACGTGGATCTCGAGAGTTGGCTCAGGACCGCCCGAGAACACAGGGTCAAAGGCTCCATGTACCTTTATAGTAGTTACTTAAGCCTTAAAGGGTCCCTATGTAGGCCCTTTCGGGCTTGAGTATCTACTATAAAGGTACATGGAGCCTTTGGGAAGGTCTTCAAAGACGAGTCAAGCTTTAGGCCTAGGGCTGGGTGTAAGGTTCAGGCTTTCACTTTGGGGCGAAGGGCTCGCCTGCTATTGGCTGTATGGAGCTTGCAGCTTTTAGGATTGACGGGCAGCTTTATGTTTGTGAACATGAGGTGCAGAGAGTGAATGAGAACCTAAACCCTCGGAGGATGAGTTTGAGGCTCACAACGCTTACAAACCTCCACGATCCACGAGAGCACAGTAGGGCAGACTTGCAGGGAGGGGCGACTTCGGGAGTTTCCACACGGCCCTGAAATTACATGAGCATGTGGGATTCCCTTCCCTTAAAAGGCCCTGCTTTCTGTGAATCAGCAAGACGGGCCCATTCCATGTAAGCTTCCGCCTGGTATGGTGACGACAACCAGGGTGGTTTGGACAGCTTCCTACACATTCTCTCAGCTCCGAAACTACACCCCTGAACCTTCAACCTCAAAACAGCGGAAGGCTAGGAGCCCTAAACCCTAAACCCTAAGCCCTGCTTCACTTGAGAGAGGAGCCCGAAGCCCCCTAAGTCACCGAAGCCTCCTGGAGGCCACGCCCAGAGATCGCCACAGATTACAGCGATGCCCAGAGTCTCAGAGACCTGGGTGGGGTGTGAGGGCGGAGGGTTTCTGGCAACGCCTTGGACTTCGAAAGTGGAGTCTCAAGGTAGGGGACAGTGTTATAATTACCTGTAGTATTCTTAAACCCCAAAACCCTAAACCCTAGAGGCCCTAGATTCTCTTTTGGGCTGGCCTCTTTCACCCCTAAACCCTAAACCCTAAAACCCTAAAAGGGGCCACTACACTTAAAAAAACAAAACCCTAAACCCTAGATTCACGGTAGGGCCTAGACCAGCATTGCACGAACCACAGCCTGTTGGGTTTGACTTTGTGGGGGAGCTCCTGGGCTGCACTCGAAGTTCCAATATAGGGTTCCTAATTATACTACCAATACTATTTTGGGGGGCTTCCTCGTTGTAATTATAGTATAGTATTTGGGGGGTTCCCTACTATCATTATAGTACAGTATTTTGGGGGGTTGCTTATGATAAGTATAGTATCATATACTCCAAAACCCTATTCTGATTATTAAGGCCCCGACTTTACGCCGGATGATCGTCGGGCTGGCAATGCACCAAGTCTAGGCGCAGTGAAGACTTTGACCATGAACTAGCTTTACATTATGTCTAATGTAGGTGCCTAAATAGCTACCTATACTATGTTGGGAGGTTCCTTCTTCTAGTTATCGTATAATGGGCCCCCCAAACCGTATTCTAATTATCAGGGCGCCTATATTACAGCTTGCTTCTGCCACGCATGGCAGGCTCGAGACTTTCTATCGGCTTCATCTCGCCTCGTAAAAACCCGATCCTCAGTGCCAACCAACCGACTTGGAGGTGCTTTGGCGGTAATATAGGGGCCTACCCATACTACTTTGGGGGGTTCCTTATTATAGTTATGGTATAATGGACCCCAAAACTCTATTGAAATTATTAAGGCCCTACAATACTCGTAAGAACAGGCGGAAAAGTATCCGACTGACTCAATCCTACTTTCTCAACCCCTAACCTTGTAAAACTTATGACCGAACAGTGTTCACGATTAGTCAAAAGCTTGGTGGCAAGTACTAGTACTTGAGTTGGGATCAGCGGGAGCCATAAAAGTCGGCACATATTGTTTCTGTGATCCCTGGTAAACTACAATCCCCAAACCTTGAATCTTTAAGTCTTGAATGCTCGTCCCCTCACCCCCAAAAGCCCTGATAAAGGCCCCCAGAACCCTATACGCCGTACAGAACCGCCTTTGTCCCTCCTCCCCCTAAACCCTAAACCCTAAACTGCCTTTGTCCCTCCTCCCCCTAAACCCTAAACCCTAAACCCTAAACCGCCTTTGTCCCTCCTCCCAGGCCGCAGAAGGCTGGTGGTGGAGTGAGGCGATCTGGTCGGCGACCGTCTCTCTGATCACCTCTCAGGAGGCCTGCAAAGGAAGGCTTTCGAGGGCTTCCTTAAGGATCTTGTTTAGAGTTCAGGGTTTAGGGTTTAGGGTTTAGGGTCTAGTTTTTAGAGTTCAGGGTTTAGGGTTTAGGGTCTAGGGATTCAGTGTCGAAGGGTGCCTGAGGATCGGGACCGTTTAGGTATAGGTCTCCACGGCTGTATGTTTGCTTCGAGCTCCGAGGTCCGATGCAGGCAAGGTCTCGGTCGTCATGTGGCCTTGAAAATTCAGGACTGCCTTCGTCCCGCTTCTGAATCGGATCGGTCTCATTTTTTCGGCTCCCTGAAGGCCACGTTTCACTGCACACTTATAGGCTTCAGGTCTTGTGTTCTGGTGTTTGTGACTACGGGTTCGGGTACTTTCAGCGACATCAACGTCCCAACCTTCCACTCACCCTGCGGAGATCTTGCACCACAGACAGAGACAACAAAGCAACTTGCTCGCCTTCATCGACCGTTCCGCTGTCAATCTACCATGGGCTCTGATCCCTGTTGCTGCAGATGCGGTGCCGGCACGAAGACTGGCTCTGCGGCCCTGTGGGACGATGGATGGTGGTTCTGGATCAAAGATGCAACAGAGGAATGGTGTACTGTTCTGAAGCTTTGGCAACCCATGAGTAGCTGGCTTCGACAGCAGTTGAACGCGAGCAGTTCAAATGCGACGAAAATCTATTGTGAACGTTGCTGGAAGGTGTGGGGTCGATATGTGAAGCCAGGCTGTCAGCACGCGTTGAGCAGCAAATGCGAGGAGTTGGCAAATAGACTGGGCGTCGAAATCAACGATGATGATAACTGCCATAGGCAGAAGAGCAACCCGTTCAAGTGCAAACTGTGTGACCGGCTCCTCAACGCAGGAACATTGTATTCGCACTTACAGTTTCAGCATTCCTCGTGCCAGCAAACATGTAAGCCAGTCGGCGGTCAAGTTAGCCTACAACCCAGAGTAGATCTTACTCAAGCTGATGTTCAGCCAGTTGTCCCAACGTCTGGCGCACCCACAGTAGATCTTACTCAGACTGCTCGTGCGCAGCCAGTTGTTTTCAAGTCGGGATCGCCTGCCTGGCGCCAGCCGAAACGCAAGCTGGCAGCCACTCCAATCAGCCTGCAAGACGACGCTCAAACTGCTGACGTTCCACCAGTCGTTCGTGTTTCTGGTTGTTCGAGTACCACAGCCAGTCGAATCATTAAGGGAACCTACACCAGAAGTGAGTGGCACCACGGGAAGCCGGTCTACAGAAAGGTTCGAGAGGATGGTGACGAGATCGCAGTACTCATTTTCTACTGGGACGGGAGGGATGACCCCTCCTTCCAAGGCTGGTGGTTCGCCCCCAAAGTCGGATCCGAGATGGTTTGGGCGCACTGTGAGACAGCAGTTGAGAGCAGGTCGCCCCCTGTCTCTGGCTGGAAAGTGCCATACGATGGGCATGTCGACAACGAGTTGAAGATCACGAAGGACAGTGAGCCAGACAAGGCTCTTGCTGTCGAAGGTGTTTGGGAGTTCTTGTCGAGCGAGGTTGGCGGTGCAGAGGACTGGCAGCCAATGAGCTACGAGATGCAGAAGTCGCTTGAGGATTGCTGGGCCAGAGGCTGGAAAGGTCATAACGGTTCCGACATACTTCATGTTAGGGCGAATGGCTATGCTTATCGCATCGACTGCTCCTGCATGGTTCAGTGGAACGTGAAGACGAACCGCAGACGGCCTATCAGGAGGCAACAGAAGAACGACGAGGCAGCTTTGTCTCAGCTTGAGGGCTTGAAAAACGAGATCAGAAGGCACGTGGATGAGAATGCTGCTTTGACGAGCAAGGTGGTAGATTTGGAAGCACAACTTCTGCAGCTCAAGGCGGTTCAATCTCGAGCAGAGCATACTGCTCTCATGACTCTGCAGGAGCCATGGCGCATGAGTCGTCAGCTGGACATGACGATGCGGGTGGAGGTGCACCCAGAAGACGGACTGTTCGCTGCTTTGCAGAAATCCCTCCTTTCTGCCTTCCCTTCTGGTCACCATGGTGAGTGCAGTGCCGGTCGCGGTCTCACCATCACAAGAGTTGAGCAAATCCAGAATATCCGACTTTGGAAGAGCTACGAGTTCCGTAAAGAACAGGTCAAGAAGGAGTTGGAAGGCCAAACATGTCCACGGATCTCTAGCAGTTTCTCCTCCTGCCAGTGGGCCAAGCTAGACCCCACCGTGAATGAGGTCTTGGTGCTGCACGGCACCGTGCCAGACAACGTCGACCTCATTGCGAACTTCGGTTTCGACGAGCGTCTGGCACGGGAAAGAGGGCTCTATGGCCAAGGAGTCTACTTCACAGACCAGACTTGCAAGGCCTTTCAGTACTCCGGCGCCAGCAAGCAAGGCAATGGCTGCTTCATCATTACACGCCTGATACTTGGCGACCCACACTATGCACAAGGCCCCCTGCAAAAAACTAAGGTGGAGCCACTGCGGGATCCGAAGGATCCATCGAAAGGTCGCTGCCATTCTGTGATCGCCTCCTCAGGCACACCGTCCGGCAACGGTGCAAGGCAAGTCCACCGGGAGCTCGTGATCTTCAATGGCGCCCAGGCCTATCCCGAGATGATCGTTCACATCCGGAAATGAGACTTCTATTAGTCAAGGCCAGCGTATGAATGATTGTCCTTGTGATTCCGTGGATGGTGGCATTTGCACCTCAGCAAAAAGCGTGCGTGCTGTCCTATTCAGGATGCCTGTAGGACATGTGGAAACCAAACACGATCTAACTAAGCCCAAACTTCAAGCCTTACAGCAGTCACCCGTAACCCTAGACCCCTAAAAACACCTAACCCAAAAAACCTTTTCCCCGAAACCTTAGGCCCTTAACACTATCATATTCCTTGAACCCTTCATGGTAGTCATACTTTGAGCCCAGTGGACCTGGCGTCGATGGACCGGTGCAGTGTGTAGTGATACATGCAAGTTAATAGGCTCCATAGCAATTAGAGTAGGGTTTTGGTGTATCCATGCTTTAGACAGGGGCCTAAATAATTACCAATATTATTCCCTACACCTCCTTATTATAACTATAGTATAATGGGCCCCAAAACCCTATTCTAATTACTATGGCCCCTATACTATAGAATTATAGCCCTTATGATATCCCTTTTTAAAGAACCCTTTAAAGGAACCCTATTCTAACCATTAACGCCCCTATATTACATCCTTACTCCTTCCTACGGAGGGGCGGACATTCTTGCCGACTCTTTGAGGTCCTCAAACCGTCATCCTGAAGCCCTCAAGCCCTACCTTAGGAACCCAAAACCTACTCTTTTTTGTAGGGTCCCTATACATCCCATATTAGGGTTTATAGTAAGAACCTACAAAAAAGTGGGTTTTGGGTTCTTGAGGTACACCTCGACCCTCACAGATATGAGCCATAGAAGCAAGTATTTAGTTAAACCCTAAACTCTAAGCCCTAAGCCCTATAAACCTTAAACCGTATATCGGCTCTGACACCCCGGGCCCCCGAACCTCAAGAGTCAGAAGCTTTTGCTAAACCTAAACCCCTCAATCCTAAACCCTATACACCCTAAACGATAAACCCCTAACCTCTAAAACCCTATAAACCCCTAAACCCCAAACCCTAAGCCCCTAAACCCCTAAACCCTAAACCCCTAAACCCTACAAAACCCTAAACCCCTAAAGCTTTGAGGCGCGAAGCCAGGAAGACGCCCTTCCACCACAGGTCGCCCGCAGTGTTGGGGCTCGGGGCTTATAGAATGAACTGTAGGGGCCTTATGATAATTACCTGTATTATTACTTAGTGACTTAGTGTTCCTTATTATAACTAGAATAGGGTTTCGGGGGGCTCATGATACTACAACTACAATAAGGAGCCCCCAAAATAGAATTGGTAAGTAATTGCAGTAAGGCTGTTCCAGGGTTTAGGTTTCAGCCTTGAGGCGGTCGGTGTCGGTTTTCGGGGTTCAGGGCGGAGTACTTGAAGGATGTGGTGTGGACTGTTGCGACTTTGTGTTTTAGGACCTTGGCATCATGGACCTCTGCAAGTCAGGTTGCAAACATAAGGCTATAGTTATCTATACTCACGCATAGCCCCTGCAATGATACTTAATTATGAGGGCTAGCTAGGAGTAAACCTGAACCCTACACCCTACTCATCATCCTTCCAGTCGATCTGTTGGTTCTGCTACGCCGTGACGCGGATCATACAACTTCCGTCAAGTAGGCTCAGTTCAGGGGTCTGGGGTTTATGGGGCGTAGGTTTTAGGGTTTAGGTTTTAGAGGTTGAGGGTTTAGGGTTTAGGGTTTAGGTTTTTGTTGTGGACAAGTGTTTTGATGTCCGGGGTGATTGCAAGTGCAAACCACGAACAAGAGTAGAAGTACCCAACAGAAGCATCAATTTTCCACAGGTGCCAAGGTCGTTGGTTTGCTCCAATGTTTGGATCCTAGACGTATTTGAGAGTGGCTGGCTTGGCTTACCCACGGGCTTAGTGCAAGCAAGCTTGAATTTCTTGAGGGTCTTGATGCTTTTTGGACATGTGCTTCAGATTTCCCGTTCGATCATTTGGTATCCAGGTTTTGTTGGAGAGGCCAGGGGATGGGGGTTGGCGGAGGCGGCCTTTGCAAAGTACAATTCGGAAGGCCATGTTCCAAGTTGTCAAGTCCTTGCATTCTTCCTGTCGTTTACGCGCGGCGGCACAAGTTTGACACGCTCAATCAGGCAAGCTCGCGTACAAGTGAGTTCCAACAACTTTGAATGACTGCAAGCCGAAGACGCACAGTGACCCAACTCATAGGACCGGCTTCTGAAAACAACACACAACATCGCCCTTGTGCCGCCGCAGCAGCCATGACCTCCTCCTCCCGGTGTTGCAGATGTAGCGGCGTCTTGAATCGACAGCAGAAATACTGCACTGGCTGTTGGAATAGCTGGGGTTATTTTGTACGGCCCGGTGGCAAATACGAACTCAGCACCTCTTGTGAAGCTTTGGCAAATCGACTGGGAGTGGAGTTCATAGATGATCCCGGACGAAGGAGCAATCCCTTTAAGTGCAAGTTGTGCCAAAACGTTTTCAACAATGGAAACTTGGAGGAGCATTTGCGAGTCCGACATGCCGCTTCGTTGCGAGGACACCAGCCAGTAGACATAACAACACCCCCGTACTTGCTTGTCCTTCACGTGTCTGGTGCCACAGATGCGTCAATTAGCCCAATTGTTCAGGGAACTTACACCACAAGTGAGTGGCACCAAGCCGGTCTACCGAAAGGTTCGCCAGGACGCTCCCAGCATCACGGTACTCATCTACTACTGGGACGGAAGGGATAATGCCTGGGACGAAGGCTGGTGGTTCAGTCCCGAATTGGGAGCTGACACCGTCTACGCGTACAGCGAGGCAACAAATGCGAGCAACTTACCTCCTGCTTCTGGCTGGGTGGTTTTCTGCAGTGCCGGTGTCGTCGCCGACAACAACCTGAACATCCTCATGAACCTGGAGCCCAAGAAGGACCGACATCCCGTGATGAAGCCGAGCCACAATCCTGTTGACAAGCCGATGTCTGCCTATGACGTGGTTGAACAGGTTGAGCCTATCGTGTTCGTATCCGGCTGCAGCAGCGCTGCCGTCAGCTGCACTATCCGAGGGGCATACATCTTATCGGCATGGAATCACGGAAAGCCCGTCTACCGGAAGCTGCAGCAGCAAGCTTCAGGCTCGACAGTGTTGATTTATTATTGGGGCAAACCTGGGGCAGTGTGCCAAGAAGGTTGGCGCTTTGGAGCTTCCTTGGATGACCAGACGGTATGGGCTGTCAACGAATCACAACCCCAGGCCTTGTCGTTGCCCCTTCTCGGTTGGAAGGTGCCACATGATGGCGATGTCGATGACAAGTTGACTATCTCGACAGAGCCCGATACCGACTTGTCTGTCGAGGTGGTTTGGGAGTTTCTGTCGACAGACTGGCAGCCTGTCAGCTGCGAGATGCAGAACGAGCTCGAGAAACGCTGGGTGAGAGGCTGGGGTGATGCTGAAGACGATGACGACGGCATCTTCTGTGTTTCTACGAACGGCTACACCTATGGCATCGACTGTCACGATATGCTTCAGCGTAACCTTGACACCGGGCGATCACGAGAGATCAGAAGAACACAAAGGCTGGAGCCACCGGTCATCCCAGAGCTGTTCCAGAATCTTCAGAGGAGTCTGCAGCGGGAGATTCAAGCTCACATGGCTGAGAAGTCTGAATTGGCAGCCAGGGTGGTAGAATTGGAGCAACAAGTTGATTCTTGGAAGTCTTGCCAGGCGACGGTGGCAGATTTGAAGCAGCAAGTCTGTGACTTGAAGTCCTATCAGGTGCAGCATGAAGAACGTATGGTTATGTTGGAGCCGTGGCGTATGAGTCGCCAGTTGGACATGAACGTGCGTGCGACGGTTCCACTTGAGGACGGATTGTTTGCTACTCTGCAGAAAGCCCTCGTCTCGGCCTGCCCTGCTCACCATCGCGGTGATTGTCACTATGCTCGAGGTCTCAACATCACGGGGCTTGAGCAAGTCCACAACATCCGACTTTGGAAGAGCTACGAGTTCCGCAAGGAGCAAGTGAAGAAGGAGCTGGAAGGCTCCCGTGTTCCAGAAGTCACCAGCAGCTTCCCCGGCTGCAACTGGGCCAAGCTGGACTCCACGGTGAATGAGATCTGCGTGCTCCATGGCACCACGCCAGACAAAGTCGAGCTCATCGCGAATTTCGGTTTTGACGAGCGCTTGGCGCGGGAAAGGGGGCTCTACGGCCAAGGAGTGTACTTTACGGACCAGACGTGTAGGGCATTCCAGTACTCCGGCGCGGGGAGGCAGGCCGAAGGCTGCTTCATCATCACACGCCTGATACTTGGCGAGCCCCACTATGCCAGAGGCCCTCTACCCCAAGTCAAAGTTGAGCCATTGCGAGATCCGAAGGATGCATCGAAAGGTCGCTGTCATTCTGTGATCGCCGCCCCAGGCACGCCGTCCGGCAACGGTGCAACACAGGTCCACCGGGAGCTGGTGATCTTTAATGGCGCCCAGGCATACCCAGAGATGATCGTTCACATCCGGAAATGAGGCATCTCACTTTTTTGCAGGCAGACCGATGACGTTGCATGTACGTCTTGCAGCAAAGATCGAGAAGCGAAGTGCTTCCAGGGTCTCGCTTTAGGCTGTAGGGTTTAGCCCAGGGGACGTTTGTGCCACCCGAAACTTTGCAGCCAGCCTTCCTGCCAGGATACAGGCGGCCGTGCGAAGGCCAGGCTTTGCTACTCGTGGCTTTGTGTGGACCCATACATTCAGTAGCTTAAGCCACAAATTGTGCGTTTGTGTGTGTTTTATATGGTTTTAGAATAGTAGTGTGAAGGTCGAATGGTTGGGCTTAGGGGTATCAGCAAGCAGTCACATGCTTGTAGCCAGAAGGGTGTAGACACGGTTTGGCTGCGGAGGCCCATGGTTTTGGGGATTCGGCAACTGGAGCCCTTAACCTGCAAGCAGTCCCCAGACCGTTCAAAAACTCAACCGCCAATCCCTAAATGGGTAGATATCTAAATGAGGGTCCCCTTTTGGGTCCCCCAAATAGTACGGCGCCCTTATAAAAAGGTC